GATGGTTATGTGTTTCTAAGAAGATGCTCGTGCATTTTTCTTATCTATTTACAGAGTATATCAGTTTTCTACATATTGACTTGTTTTATCTTATTTCAGTTGAATATTTTGACTCCATTTGACTGTTTGTTTCTTTTATGGATCCAGAAAGGAGCCAGTCAAGGTTTTGTTTTCACACACTTTGCATTGAATGGAGAAGCAGGATCCAGATACCTGTGATCACTTGAAAGGAAAAAAACTGTGCCTTTGAGGTTTGGGACTTTTAATCTTTCAGAGTCACTTCAACTCTACAATCACTTAGCAGACGCATTATCCAAAGTGCAACACAAGCGAGGATCTAGAGAGGAGGAAACAAAGTCAGTAAGTGCAAATGAACAGCTTTCAGTCTGATCTGACACACAGATGCTGACAGGAAAGCACAACTTCAACAGCTGTCTTTTAGAGTTCTAATCAGCATCAAACCATCCTAAATATCGTGATCATCATTACCAAACAACACCATCTTCATCTTCATCATCATCATGAAGGTCATTGGTGTTCATAAAGAGCTGGGTCTTAGCTTTTTCTTAAAGGTGCAAAGGGACTCTGCGGATCCAATGAAGTTTGGAATTATTTTCCACCACCGGGGGCGACAGAGGAGAAGAGTGTAGTTAGAAACTTAAGAACCGTCCGGTTCAGTTCGTATGGTACACATGTATTGGCGTTTCTACTGTCATGAATACTTTTTTGGTACTCTTCTGTTGGGGTGCCAAGCGTACTGAACCGACTCTAAAGGTTGGAGCTAGAAACACTGCAGTCTGTTGATTGGTCGAAAGAAGAATCTTCACTTGACAGCGGTAATAAAGACAAACACAAAACGCACCACGTTTTGGAGAGAGTCATTAAAAGGCTGTTTTCTGTTTTTATGCGACTATATGTCAGCGCGTAGCTCCGCCCATGGACGACCTGGGAGATGCAATCATTCATTTTTATTTACTGTGTCACATTCTTCTTCTTCTTTATTGAATGTCTTGGCTGTCTGTCGTGCCGCTGTTGTTTTATGATGTACGGTTGGCTGTTGAAACGCAAACAAGATCAGGTTTACCGTGTCAGACTGTACTGAACCAAACCAGACCGCTTGGTGGAAACGGGGCTTTAAGGCCCAGGTTCAGTTGGACATTTGTGAACACCTTATAGAGGCAAATAAAAACACATAAAGTGCAGACTGGCTCTGTATAGTGTTTGCTTCCTCTCTTATTCAAGTACTGCTATGTGTTGCTTTTATCCGTCCTAAACATTGGCTGTTATTGTGTAAGTTGAAAAGTTGTTTTAGGTAAAAGAGTCTGCAGGACAGTAAACTAAACTGAGCGCACATTCGTGAGTGTTGTGTCCTCAGTGAAGTGTGTCAGTCTCTGCAGAAGCTTCCTGCTGCAGCAGTCAGTCTGGTTTCTGTTCAGGCTGACTGAGGGAGGTTTTTGTACGACGCTTTTTCACTGTGTGAACACATACTGACTGTTGATATGTATACTCTGACAGTAGTAAACTGCTGCGTCTTCAGTCTGGACTCCACTGATGGTCAGAGTGAAGTCAGAGTTTGATCCACTGCCTGTAAAACGATCTGAAGTCCCTGATTCTCGAGTGCTACCAGAGTAAATCAGCAGTTTAGGAGTTCCTCCATCTTTCTGTTGGTACCAGGCTAAGTCGGGTTCGTCGAAGTAGTATCTACATCCTCACTGGTGTACATGATAAGGTGACGGAGGCTCCCAGAGCATATCTCACTGCTGCACTGAGTCACTGTGACCTGTCCTCTGGACTCTGAGGAGACAGAGACAAACACATGAAGCAGCATCAGGGTTGTGTGGGCTTCATTTCAGAGAGACGGATGTTCATAGAGGAGAGGAGTTTGATTGTCTGGACTTTACCTGTGAAGCAGCAGCAGAGGAGGAGAGTCCAGATGAGGACGCAGATCAAAGTCATGTTTTTGGATGAGGAGGAGGAGGATTTCTGTGGCTCCTGTTGTGATGAAGGACAGCTGTCAGTCCTGCAGTGTTCAACTCTCAGGACTTTAAACTCTCCCCGAGCACTGGAGCATGCTGCTGCTCATGCAAAGTGGCTCTTTATGGAAATGCTCTGACTAACTGGGGACTTGGATTATACTAATTATAAAGTTAATTTTTTAACTTTCAATAAGACATGTTTTTAAAACCGTGTTCATGCTTCTGGAGAAATCCCCGGAATAAAATGTCTTAATTTTGAATATTAATGGAAATGTATTCTTTATACTTTTCAGTTCATTTGAAGGTTTTGCAGACAAGAGCTTTTTTTTTACTTTCTTTAGTGAGAGGTTTTGTACGGCGACTCAGTGAGTTTGCATCACTGTGGTACACATTTGGTGGAGGAACCAGACTGGATGTTGGAAGTAAGTCAAATATTAACCCTTGTATGTCAGAGATTATTTTATTTTGAAATGCAAGACTGAAAATGACTGACCCAAACATTTGTGTGCATGTTTTTCTCTGTATTTAGACTAAAAATTGAATTTGAAAAGTTTTTAATGAACGTATCAAAATAAATGTCAAATCTGAAGCCAGAGTCATCATTTGTTCCAGAGTAAATGAGTGTTATCATTGTAAAGGTGAAGTTGCATCTTGAGGGCTGGTAGTTTGAGTACGATGTGTTGAAGTCAGAGAGCCGTGTCTCTGTGCAGTGAGAGGTTTTTGTACGGCGACTCAGTGACTTTGTATCACTGTGGTGGACTTTTGGTGGAGGAACCAGACTGGATGTCGGAGGTAAGTTTCTGTTGATTTCTAAACAGTGTAATGTAATCATGATTTTTTTTTTTCATTTACAATATAAAGAAACATTTATACATTTTACATTATATTTTTTTCCTGTTTGTGTTTGTCCTCCTGTACCATCTCAGGACAGATCGTTTACATTCAGTTCAGCAGCTTCAGATTCATAAAAAATAATTCTCTGGTTTCAGATATCTATTCCACATCAACGATAACTCTTAAAGGCCTTATTTCATTTTGTCATTTTGAATAAATTGCTCAAAGGGAAGTTGTAAGAATTTTGAATGAAAATGTTCAAAATCTCTGATCTCTTTCTGCAGATTATGTCACTTAAGATTTTTTAGCCTTTTATGATTTAAAACATGTTTTATTGATAGATTTGGTTCATGTTTCCACTCACAGTTAGAAAAATAGGTATTTCAAAGGTTGAGTGATTTGATGATTTTTCAGCGTATATTTTAAGTCCAGTGTATTCTGGTCTCTCTGTACGATGATCGTCTCTGTGTTGATTTGCATGACAGATTTCTGAGAGGGAAGTGAAACAATGTGTGAGTGACTGCTGAAGCAGAAAAAAACATCTGACAGAAACTCCTTAAAGGAGAAACTCTGCTTTCAACTGCAAAGGTGTCCAGGAGTGATGTGTTTGACTGACAGCTGTGGTTCCTGTCCTCTGTTCTGATTGGTGTCTCCTAGGTGAAGCCCGTCCCACCTTGATGGTTCTGCCCCCTTCCAATGAGGAGCTGCAGCAGGGAAGGCCACGCTCGTGTGCCTGGCCAACAAGGGCTTCCCCTCAGACTGGAGTCTGGCCTGGAAGGTGGACGGCATCAGCGGCGGCAGCTGGGAGGAGAGCAGGGGCCCTGCGGTGATGGAGCAGGACGCTCGTTACAGCTGGAGCAGCACCCTGAGGCTCTCTGCAGGCCAGTGGACGAAGGTGGGCTCTGTGACCTGTGAGGCCACCCAGGGCTCCCAGACGCTGGTCTCAGAGACACTGAGGAGGGACCAGTGTTCCCAGGACTGAGCTGTATCACCTGGACTCTGCTGCTGGTTTCCCCTGCTGTTGTTTCACTTCTGAAACTGCCCTCAGTTTACACGCTAAATGCCTTCTTTCCCTCTCTATGATTTTATGTTTCAACGTTAACTTTTCTTGCCTTTTGTATTGACAGTTTTTCTTAAAATGAGCAAAAGAATAAAAATGGAATCAACAGTGTTGTTGTGCATATCTTTCATTTCTTAACAGTTAACAATTTTTGAACGGACTTTGGTAAGTTCATCTAAAGAATAAAAAAAAAATAGCAATGGAAAACTTCCAAATAATCTTATATCATCAAAATCTGCTGTTGAAGAAGTTGAAATGTCTCAATCTGATGACTGATGTGTTGAATTGTTAAATCTCTGAAAATAATGAAGTGTGGTAAGAAATGTGTTACAAATAAAACGGATGATATCATCAGCATAAAGTGATAAAACATTGCTTCTGGCATTTTGTTCAATGCCTGCTCTGTGGTTTCAAAATTAATTTAAATAATAAAAAAATCATGAGAACACACATTGTGGAAAGTTTATTCAAAGCTTGGTTGTTTCTGCATATTCTGTTGGATGTCAAAAAAAAGATTTAATACTTAACTCAAAAAGAGATAATCAATTAAAACAATTCAAATGTTTTTTTTTAGACAGTAGTAAACTCCTTCTTTACCTGTGTGCTTTGGGTGCTCTGCTTTCTTGATATATTAGGAGGACTCTAATGGAAACAAGTTGGACCTCTGAGTAGTCGACGACTTTAAGACTTAAAGAGTCTTATACAACACATAAGTTCTGTCAGGCAGACTAACCTTTCCTCTGCAGGGCACCAGTTTAGCTCAGTTGATAGAGCAGGCGCTGTATTTTATATATTGTGGCGACAGTAGCTCAGTCTGTAGGACCTTGTTTGGGAACCTGAGGGTCGCTGGTTTAAGTCCTGTACACATCAAAGTATGGAAGCTGCCAGGTCCCAGGTCACTCTCCGAGTGCTATAGAGGTGTCCTAGAGCAAGACACTGAACCCCCAACAGCTCTGTTGTGCTCCCTGTGTCGCAGTGTGTAGCAGCCCCACTGACATCTCTCCAGGTCCTGATTGTGTTAGTGTGCACAGACATCATGTCCACAAGTTTTCAGATGTTACTGCTCTCGTGCACCTACTTACCCAAGGCAATAATCTGACCAACAAAAACAGAGATTGAATCTTTAGTCAGCTGGTGTGATGCATATTGAATGTTGGAAGACAAAGAACATATTATTGATTTTAGAAGAAAGAAAGACGATGTTTCCCCTCATAGCAGATCCAAACTGTCCAGTTTCATAAATGTCATTCATGGACAGTACATTAAATTGGAAAAGACACTGATGGTCTTTAAAGAAGGCTCAGTCAAGACTCTTAAGGAAGCTTAGATCCTCTGACTTAGCAAGAACCTTCTGTACGTTTTGTATCTTGGCTAGTGTCCTCTTTATTCTGTTCTGTGCTGGGGGGGCAGCTTCTGTTTGGATGATACAAATAGGATCAATAAGCTGATCAAAGAGGCTGGCTCTGTGATCGGCTTTACCCCACACTCTCTTGAAGTCACCTTTGAGAAGAGAACGAGGACAACACTAAAAATCTTTTCATAAATATCTGACATATGCCAAGGGTTCATTTTGAAATGCTAAGTACTGTATAGTGGAAATATATGATATTGAATAACTGATTGTGTAGTTTTTGTATTACAGGAAGAGGTGATGGAAACCAGTCAGTGTAGTGTTTGAGTGTGTGTCCTCAGTGAAGTGTGTCAGTCTCTGCAGAAGCTTCCTGCTGCAGCAGTCAGTCTGGTTTCTGTTCAGGCTGACTGAGGAGGTTTTTGTACGACGCTTTTTCACTGTGTGAACACCAACTCACTGTTGATGATATGTACACTCTGACAGTAGTAAACTGCTGCGTCTTCAGTCTGGACTCCACTGATGGTCAGAGTGAAGTCAGAGTTTGATCCACTGCCTGTAAAACGACTTGAAGTCCCCGATACTCGAGTGCTACCAAGTAAATCAGCAGTTTAGGAGTTCCTCCATCTTTCTGTTGGTACCAGGCAAAAAGGTTCTCGTCTCCGTAGTATCTACATCCTCACTGGTCCTACATGATAAGTGACGGAGGCTCCCAGAGCAGATCTCACTGCTGCAGCTGAGTCACTGTGACCTGTCCTCTGACTCTGAGGAGACAGAGACAAACACATGAAGCAGCATCAGGTTGTGTGGGCTTCATTTCAGAGAGACGGATGTTCATAGAGGAGAGGAGTTTGATTGTCTGGACTTTACCTGTGAAGCAGCAGCAGAGGAGGAGAGTCCAGATGAGGACGCAGATCAAAGTCATGTTTTTGGACGAGGAGGAGGAGGATTTCTGTGTCTCCTGTTGTGATGAAGGACAGCTGTCAGTCCTGCAGTGTTCAACTCTCAGGACTTTAAACTCTCCCCGAGCACTGGAGCATGCTGCTGCTCATGCAAAGTGGCTCTTTATGGAAATGATGGATTTCAATCACTCAATGAGCTGATCTGATGATGAGTCTTTCAAGTATTTTAAAAGTTTCTGAAAAGTATTTCAGTAGCTTAACAATTATTTTCCACAAGTTTCAGTTTTTCATATACACAATTCAAACAACATTTAAACTATTCTTTAAAACCTGAAAAAGTATTTTGCCAACTTTTTTCTGTGTTGCTTGTGTTTGCCCTTTCTCAAGGATTAAAAATTTCTTTTAATGAGAAAAATGTTTGAAAGTGGATACAACATATACAAAGACTTATCACAGAATTACAGCAAAATTCTGAATTTGTATTTTGCAAACCAAACTTCACTGCATCTAAAGTCTAAAACAAGTAGCTCATAACGTCTTGTTTTAAGTAGTGAAACGTGTCTGTTGTCACGTTAAGCAGTGGTGCCTGTCTGTTGAACGGTTACTGAGCTAAAGAGGAAGTGAAATGTTTCAGACCAGTTTCATCTTCTCTGAAGAAGACTGACAGATGCAGTCGTGTCCTCGGCTGCCACTTACGAGAAAAAGGTATTTGACCTCCCTTAATTATCATTGATCTCTCTCTCTCTCTCTTGCAGTGCTGCTCCACTCCAAGTGTTGCATCGGACTCAAACATTTGAGATCGGATACAGCCTGACTTTGCAGAGTGTAAGCCTGCCTAAACAGAAAAAAGTCATTTGGAGATTTGGTTTCCATCTTGCACACAAAAGTGTCAGCATGACGTATTTCTAGTCATGTGACTTCCTGCAATGTGACAATTGTACTAAGAACCAAATGCACAAATCCAAAACACTTAGAGAAGATACAAAGTCTGTTTAATCAGAGGGGAGGTCAGTACACGGGAATCTAAATCACAAGCAGAGTAATCAAAACGTTGGGCAACAGGCAGGTCAGAAAATACAGAAAAAGGTCGAATAATAATCGGAAAATACACAATGAAAGCTGAACGTTGTCATGAGGGAACAAGAAAACTGGCATAGAAGGAGGGAAACACAGAGACTAAAACTCAAGGGAGCGAAGACAACTAGACACAGGTGAGACACATCAGGTAATCACAGACGCAGGAGACACAGTGAGAGTAGAAGAAAGCAAAGGATCTGAACGAGATGCAGGTAAGTGTCAAAAACACAAGATGTAAAACATGAGAGTAACTGAAACCACACACTATCCTGGAGATGTGTCATAACAAGGGCAACCTCCGTCTGGAAAATGAAGCCTATGCGGAAGTACAAAAAAACTGCAGTTCCTCGAGGTTCCTCTTGAGCTGGCTGCAGAAGCGCCGGAAGTGCCATAAGCCCACAGCCAAAAAAGCCCGTTTTTACCACAGAATCAACATGTTACAGCCTGGTTCAAAAAACGATGTTTACAGCCTGGTTCAAAAAACGAGATATATCTGAGAAGTTGACGGCCCCTTCTCCTCACACTGTGGGGGGGGGGTGAATTTTTTTATAACTCATCGGATTTTATTCTATTAAGGAAAACGACTATGCCCATATTAGGGTTGTGTCAGATTTGATTGACAGCTCTGCGCGGTCAGCAGGTCAGGAGGCTAACAGCTTGATCCGTCTGATTTCTCCTCTTTCTTACTTCGTTTGGAGAGTTTGTTTAACACATATCTGACAACATACATGGCTTGCTGTGCGGTTAACAGACCATCCAACAAGTTGATGCTTCAGTTTTTTCGTAAGTGATATAGTAGTGTTATATTTACTGCTTACTCATGTGTTTATATTTACGGACCTAGCTTGTTTAGAGTTAGCTTGTAAACCAGTCGCTAACTGTGTAGCTCATTATTTACATTATTTACATTATTTACATTATTTACAGTCAATGGTTTAGAAATGTTTGTTAAGATGTTGTTGTTGAAAATAATGAGTTGTGTGATGTTAGAAGCTAAAGGTTCACCTCGGTGGTTATCTGACGTTATGATGAATGTTATACTCCACCTAAATGTGGACATTAAAAAACAAACTTTGTGTAGTAATTATCCGTCAGTAACATAAACTGAACTGAACCTAATGTGCTGTGTAGGTTATAGAGGATGACATTAAAGTTACATGGTTGATGTAGTGTCTTAAGATTTGAGCAAACTGTTAACAAAAATCACTTTGTAAGAGCATCTGTAACCATTAAGAACTATATTAATAACCAGATTAATTTTCACTGAACTCATACACAGAATATAGCTGTAGAAATATAAAATATAAATAACATGGAATGAAAATAAGATATAAAGCACATAGATATAAAGTATAAGAAATAGTTTGAAGAATACAGCCATGTACTGAGCTCATGTTAATAATAAATGAGTTACTGTATGTTCTGTACTAAAGCACAGAGAGTTGGGACCTGTTAATGA